ATTGAGAAACAAAATTAGTACGAATCCGAAGAAATTTCAAACTTTATATTCAATTATTAATGATGAAATATCTACTGAAACAATGAAAGAAAAAAATTCGTCAACAAATGCACTTCTTTGGCTTAGAAGGTAAAACTAACATTTATTTAAGTTTTTTTTATCTGATGTCTGTTGAAAAATATAGTGCTCGTCGATATTTTTACAATAACTCAGGAACGAAACGATCTATAGAGCTCCGATTTTCATCATTCAAGAGAGGGGACTCAAGACCATCAGAGTATATAGAAGTTTGATTGATCAGTCAGATGGATGCTTGGTGCAGGTTTTCCAAACGATATTCTGAAGCTATTTTCCTTTCAATTTCGACTTTTACTAGGGCTAATCGATAGGAAAAATTCTTCTCTTTCGAACTACACAACAGAGATGTCCATCGCGCCGCCGCCGCGCCGCTGCCGCTGCCGCGCCGCGGCCGCGGCCGCGGTTGGCGGCGCGGCAGCGGCAGGTTTCTCAAAAATTCATCGCGGCAGTGACGCGGCAGCGGCAGGTTTCTCAAAAACTCATCGCGGCAGTGACGCGGCAGCGGCAAAGTTTTTAAAAATTCATCGCGGCAGTGGGGCGACAGCGACAGAATTTTTTTCGAGGACATTGGAAAACTGCATGAATTTGATAGAATTTCATTGTTTACAAAGGAAACACTCTGAGACTGAATGAATCTGAGGAACTAGTACCAATATTTCTGGTCCCATATAGTTGCTGTAGTGAAATTCGAAACACTTTTTTGAAAACCATCGCGGCAGCGGCGCGGCAGCGGTGCGGCAGTGGCAAGTTTATTACTCGTCGCGGCGCGGTAGCGCCGCGGCGACATTTTTTTATAGACCATCGCGGCGCGGCAGCGCCGCGGCGACATTTTTTTATAGACCATCGCGGCGCGGCAGCGCCGCGACGACTTTTTTTATAAACCGTCGCGGCGCGGCAGCGGCAGATTTTCAGCCGCGATGGACATCTCTGCTACACAAGACCGACAGTCCTAACTAATTCCATTCAAGAGTAATAAGACTTTCTCTGAGATCCCTGATTTCAGCTAGTTGACATGTGATCGCTTGGAAAATGAGTTAGGTAGAAGTAATTCATCATAATGAGTCGATTGGTGATGTGTGTTTTTAGGTTGGAAATGATGTGACACTGTTATCTCAATATTTTCGAAATGTCGACAGCTGCGTTATGTGGAGGCTAATTGTAGGAATTCAAAAATATTGAAATAATAGTATCAAGTCATTTCGAATCTAAAAACAAATATCACTATTCTACTTATTATAATGAATTACCGCTGCCTAGCTGCTTTTACGAGTGATTACGGGTCAATTGGCCAAAATCGGGAGTCTTAGAAAAAGTCTTATTACTCTTAAATCGAACTAGTTAGGAATGTCAACTTTGGATAGATCGAAAAAGAAGAATTTTTCCTATCGATTAGATCTAATGAAAGTCTAAGTTGAAAGGCAAATGAACTCAGAATATCGTTTTTAAAAATCTCTACCAAGAACTCAACTAATTTGTCAATTGCTGGCCAATCAAACCTCGATATACCTTGATGGCCCTGAATCTTCTCTCTTGAATGGTGAAAACCACAAGTCTCTAGCTCTTTCCGTTCTTGAATTATTGCAAAAATATCCATGGCTATTATATTTTTGGACAGACATTAGTTAAGATTAAAAGTTTCATCGAAAATACATTAAGAAAAAGAAAAGAACTTTCTGAAGACAGAAGATAAAAAATTTTTCCAATTGAAAATGAATGAAGATTTGTTTTTTTTTTCTTTTTATAGAAGTATTCATTTTCTTGCATGTTTTCTACATGAATTTGGTCAAGGTGATAAAAGTGTTGAAGATGCATTAAATAAAGCATATGGACAAACATTAAAATCTTTCCATGGTTGGACTACACGTGAAGTTTTTTCTGTAAATATTTTTTATTTATTTGAAAATCAAATACAAAAAAAAAATTTCTTTTAGGTTGCTTTTCGATCAGTTCCTTCAAATGAAGATTTTCTTATTTCACTTGCTATTGATCCACATGAAGTTCGAGAAGCTTTATTTGAACGACAAGTTAGTTTTTAGAATTTTTAAATAAATAATATATTTGATTTCTTTTTCTTTTTTGTTTCAAGATTTTGAATGAAATGCTTCAACATAGTTCCAATATGAACGTTGTTGTACGTAAAATAAGTGATTTTTATATTGAACATAATATTGAATTAGATGGTATTGTTGGCTAAGACTATATATTGTCTTTTTTTTTTTATTTATGTTATTTATTAAATAATGAATATTATTATTTTGAGTTATTATAATAATAAATTTTTAAATTAAAAAAAAACGAAAACTTAAACATTTGGAGAAGTTTTTTGCTACCTGATGATAAAAACTTTATCAGTTGAGATTAATTGAAATCAGGGATATCCTTCCTAAATCTTGGAAAATTTTCATTCTTCCCAACAAAACTGAATGATTTTCTTCTTTTTTCTTTTGCTCACCAATTCCTGCAATATGGATCAACTCCTTCCAATCTTGGTGATCTCGGAACATCCCTGATTGAAATTAAAAATTCAATAAGTGGCAAACCGACGCAGATATTTTGATCGGTTCTAATTTGCCGTTTTTTCATGAGAAAAACCAAACAATAAAAATAAGTTATCCTTCTGAAATGACAGTTGATCACTTAACGTAAAGGATTAGTAAATCAAGCTGAAAAGCACAACAAATTTTTTAATTTAGTCAAATGATTGTTGATAATCAGCCTATCAAAGAAAATGTGTACAAATCATAGCTCAAAGCAAGATAAGTGAAGAATGATCAAAGAAAAAGTTTTCAAGTTTTCCTATTGTAAAATATTCATAATTAAACTATCTATAGTAAAACTTCTATATGTGAACATCCCTCCTTAATGAACATCTCGCTATTATGAACACCTCTTTATTATAAACGCCTTTTGCTGATCCCGAAGGTGTTCAGATTGGAGAAGTTTTACTGTATATAGATCATATATATACGGTATAGTTGTTACCAATTTTTTCTATTAAATATGTTGAGCCATTTCATACTTAGTCGTACTGATACGAACGAATAAATGATCGATGTCTTGATCAATTTTATCAAAATTTTCAAATGTAAAAATGAAAATAATTAGTCTTATTTCAAAGTCAGACTTTTTTTAAGTAGCTGATTACAATTCACTTATGCAATTTTCATTAATATAATTGAAATAGAAAGAAAAAAAAACCTTTTTTTCATAGTCAGCCGAGCCAAGATGGGTAAGTCTAACCAAGCCTAACTTTTTGTGGAGTCGTACAATCTGAACTTTATTTTTTTTCTTAAGAAAGATTTATGCATCTTAAAATCAGTTTCATGAGACTACTCATCCACACGTATAGCCAAATGTCAGACTAAGTGGAATGAAATTGATCAGTGAATAAATACTTCTGAGAGATTTTTGATAAGAAATAATTGTCTTTATAAAGTTTAAGGATTGGCGAATCTATTTTATTTTTTCGACTTATCTCTTATTTATTATCTACTAGGATGATAATTGTTTGATCTTATTGAATTCGTAATGATCATGATGAGAAGTTTTAATAAATAATTGAAGCGATTGTTTAATTTCATCTTGTAGAAATCTGATTTTTTTTTAATAAAAGAAATAAACTTAATAATCAGTGCTAGTCCGAGATGGATCGGCGATCGAATTATGAGCTACGTTGGACCATTGAAAAGTAGTAAGATTTTGAGACTTAATTATATATTGTTATTTAAGGTAACTATCTAATAAATAAAAAATACTTATCGTTATATAATATGAATTTATTGACAAGTCACTGTACAGAATAATTTATTTAAAATATTCAAAAACAATTTATTATTGAAAATGACAGAGAAAGACTTGATTGACTTGATTTGGAAATGACTAGATAAAATAATTTGACAGACAACTAGGAAAAAAAAGAAATATTAAAAATAATCTTAAGTAGACCATAACCATTGTTTAAATCTTGTCAATGGACCTTAATTAAAATTATATAAAAATTTTTTTAAACAAATATTCATCTTTACTTTTTTTATTGTTAGGCAAAACTAAGGCATATACAATATCATCTGAAACATAATTTAATGGTGATGATATTGTAATACCATTATCTGTTCGAGTAAATAATGTTGATTGATAAAATGTATCCCAATCATAAATTCCATCATATTTAAGATCATGATATATTATACGTAATAAATCATAACGATCAATTGGTATTTCATATTCAATTTCTTGTATTGAACCATCAACTAATTGTAGTTTTAATGAACGTCGATTTGATTCAATAGATAAATCATTTTGTTCTTTCATTGCTACATTACTTATTCGAATCAAGAAATCAATCGTATAGAAAAGTAAAAGTTACTCTTGTCAAATCAGAATATTTGACATAAATCACTTGGCAACAGAATTTGTTTTATAGCCAATTAAATTTGATTTTACATCCTTTACGAAAATGTTTCATATGAAGATGTGAAATACGAAGATATTTTACATACAAATATTAATCATAAATAATAAAAATTCGAAAGGAATTTAATAAATAAATGATGAATTAATGGCGCCCTCTGGATATAGAATTGTTAAAATATTTTATTTCATCAGTCACTCAGTAGATAACTACATAGAAATAATATATCACATTGTCAAACAAATTAGAACACGTGACTTGGCACGATGATTTTTCTTTCCTTTCGGTTTTTTACTCGTACTAAGATACGTTTTACTATTACATTCAGTCTCGCAGTCATTTTGTTTGTTATTTATATACGATAGAGACGTATTGGACTTCACGACTTGAAAATACTCTATGAAATACGAGGCCAATGTCATTATTGTTTTTCTGTTGTGTATGTTAATTTTCTTGTTTTTTTTTTAGATTTATTATTCAAAACTCAATAATTTGATCTAGACAAGAAAAGATGAATAAATTTTTCTCAATTATTTGTCTTGTTCTTTTTATTTCGACTTCATTAGCTAAAAGTTCAGTAACAGATAAAACGATCGATGCTGCAACTGACTTAAAAGACAAAGTTGTTGAAACTGTATGTAATTTTTTTTCTTCTTTACATTTAATTAAATATTCTTTTTTTAAATAGGTAAAAGAGGCATGTGATACAGCTGCACCTAAAGTAGCCGAAAGTGCTGAATTTATCAAAGACAAAGTTGTTGAAGGAGCTGAATTCATAAAAGACAAAACTGGTGAAGCATATGATACTCTTGTGCCCAAAGTAGCCGAAGGTGCTGAATTTATCAAAGACAAAGTTGTTGAAGGAGCTGGATTTGTAAAAGACAAAACCGGTGAAGCATATGATACTCTTGTGCCCAAAGTAGCCGAAGGTGCTGAATTTATCAAAGACAAAGTTGTTGATGGAGCTGGATT